TAAATAGGGAATAATTTTTAAAATTTTTTAAAGATTTTAAATATGACACAGCCATTAATATATTTGCTTTTTAATTGGTTTTATAGGGGAAATGTTTTTTTGTGTTGTTTTTTAACATGCTGTGAGCCGCCCTGAGTCCCTCTGGGGAGAAGGGCGGCATAGAAGTTTAAATATAAATAAATAAATAAATAAATAAATATATGTTTGAGTCTGGGCAGCTCACAACACATTAAAAACAAGGAAAAGAATGGTATCCATGAAACATAAGGTGCCAAGGCTAAAGCAGTAAATCCAGTCCACATGGCTAAGGCAACTGTGAGAAGTTCCTGGAGACAACTATCAAGAGACAGTTATAGAAAAGGACTCTCATATAAAAGAGAGGTCATTTTCCATTTGCATTCTTCTGCGTTACCACATGAATTCTACAAAGCTATTTTTGTTAACATGCAACAAGTGGCGAGAATCATATTAAGTATTTATTTATATAGGGCTGTGAAGTTTAAAGCTCATTACACTATTTAGGCATTCTCATAAAAGTCCTGTATTATTCTTGGAATTGGTGAGATAAAACTGAGTGGCTTGTCATATGCATATGCTATGTTTACAGTCAAGGCAGGAAGATTGAATTGCTCTATCCACAGATTATATCATTCACATTACTGGCTCTTGACTATTCCCTTATAAGGGAACAATTCAGGAACCTAAAGGTGAAAAATAAGAGGGTCCTTTTCTACAATCCCAATCTTCTGCAATTTGATTCTTTCCCTTGCCCCAGAAATATAAGTGAATTATTAAATAACTTTTCAGTAAATCTGCACAAGGCACTTTCAATTTCCCTTGGTTAAGAACTTCATTCCACGAATGCAAAATGAGTTTTCTTTGTCGAAATAAAGAACTGATTTGCCTTCATAAAGTGCTTTCCAACCTTAACAAATATTTGCAGTAGCTAGAAGTGGCCTCTACTGACTACAGTTTCCTTAAAGCAGTGGTTCTCAACCTGTGGGTCGGGACCCCATTTGGGGTCGATCGACCATTTCACGGGGGTCACCAAGCAAGGCTGTCCGCCATTTTTTTGTCTGCCATTTTTTTTGTCCGCCATTTTTTCCCCCTTTTCCGGCGGGTGCCTTACCTCCCTTGGGCTGGGCCAGCTGGTGGTCGGCCTGCTCCGTCTCTGCCGCTTGCCAGCTACGCCTCGGCCGGCGCAGGGGGCGGAACCACACATGTGCGGTGCTCCCGGGCAGGGAAAGTCCTCGACTTACGACCGGTTGGGTAGTCCTCGACTTACGACTGGTTTAGTCCTCGACTTACGACCGGTTTAGTCCTCGACTTACAACCGGTTTAGTCCTCGACTTACGACTGGTTGGGGTCGCAGCATTAAAAAGGTTGAGAACCACTGCCTTAAAGAGAGCAGCCTTGAATGGAGTAACCATTTGCTGTTAGCAGTGAGAAGGTATCACTTTTCTGAAGCAACTTCAAAGGGCTGATTCACTTAAGCACTCCTCAAAGCAAAGCATCTCTTTGAAAATTTGGGTAGAAACCTTATATTTTGGCAATACAAATTTCAAATAGGAGGCATGGGTCAGAGGGCAAAATATTCAAATTGAAGAAGGGCATCATAGATGGATATATTACAATATCAGTTTGATCTTAAACCGTGTACTGGATACCAATACCCCTGCTATGAAATTTCATGGATATTTCATATAGTTTCAATCACTCCCCACTCCTCAATAACTACTTACCCAACATTAAGATGATCAACCAGGGCTTCTGTTAAACAAGTTGCTGCAGCAATAGCTTCTCGCCGCCGCCGTTCTAGAACGAAAGCAAATGTCTCTTCTATGACATCATTAAAGTCAACGTGTCTTTGAAATGGCTCTACATCTACATTCTTGGTATGGGTTCCGTGTTACGTCCTTGCTCTCATCGTACATTAAATTATGTGCTTGGAATACTAAGGTTCCCTGCTTAGTAGAGCATTGATTTTGTACAATCATATCCATCTCAATATTTTGAGACAGGCTTCAACCTCATACCTACCTAACCATGGCCCGAACATACCTCAGGAATTGGGTTTTTTTAGTGCCATGTCCCCATGATATTGCCCTTACTTTTTTCCTCAGCTCACACCCGAAACAATTCAAAGCCAACTTTAGTTGATCTAGTTGTAAACTAGTGGATTCTCTCACAAATTTAATCAACCATATTATTGCTTATACCAGCGGCCCCCAACCTTTTGGGCACCAGGGACCGGTTCCGTGGAGAGAGGGTTTTCCATAGATCGGAAGGGGCGTGGTTTTGTGTTCCGCCTACATCCTACGGATGGGGCTTCACTTGTTTGCATGGCCCGGTTTCGGGCGGCCCAGTGCTGGTCCTTAGACCGGGGGTTGGGGACCCCTGGTTTATACAATCAGGGGTTGGGATGGGCCCTATTGTTTATCATTTCAGAATGCTACAAGCATCTGTTCTGATCACACAGTCTCCTTATAAACATGAATTTGAAAGAGAGCAGACTATTTTTAAAACTTTTTTCAGAGTCTTTGGTGAGAAGACTATACTGTAAGTAGTCCCCGATTTACAAC